TTGGGAAATCATTGACCAAAATTGATGTGTTTCCTTGCTATAGTGCTTCTCAGAACATAGATATGCCAATTAGTACTGTGAATGTCTAAAAAAAGCATAAAGTTTGTATTATTTTACAACTTTATTTACCATAAATAGAATCCTCTTCTGAGCTTCTAGAGGTGGAGATATGGAGACAGTTATCCTTAGAAAATATGTTTAGACACACTGACACTGCTTTAAATGTCTGTTCTTCGGAATTTCCAAGTAAAATAGCAACTGGAAGCTGCCCAGGTGAAGTATGCCCTCCTTTAGAAATTCCCTATTTCTTCTGGTAGACCAAAGAGCAGTGACTAAGGAACTGGAAGAAGACACCTCTCACAATGTCTACTAGACACACAAAAAACTGGGCCAGTTGATTCAATGAACAAGACTTATAAGGCATTCAAAATGTATCAGAAACTGAATTTTGGTTTTAAAAAATAACTTCTTGTAGTATCCCATGTGGAGAGAGAAGTTTTCAAAGATAAAATAACATTTGGGGGGCTGGAAAGGTGGCTCAGTGGTAGAGTGCTTGCCTTGCATGCCTGAGGCCCTGGGTTCAATTCCTCAGCACCACATAAGCAAAAAGAAAAAAGCCAGAAGTGGCACTGTGGCTCAAGCGGTAGAGTGCTAGCCTTGAGCTGAAGAACTGAAGAACAGCACCCAGGCCCAGAGTTCAGGCCCCATGACCGGACCCAAAAAAAAATAACATTTGAACTAGATCTTAAAAGATTATTTCCTGGGACCATGGCGGGCAAAGGGAGGAAACTTAAGGCAAATGGGCTATACGTGAAGAGGTACAGCTGCCTGAAAGGGCATTATTCTGCTTTAGTGATCATCATTCACCTGTGTTTCTGTATATAAATACTGCATTGTATGCTAGCATTTTATATTGTATTCCCAAAAGAATGAGAACTAAGAAGGGGTTGCAGAGAGCTTGCCATTCTTCATGCCTGTTGATGATGAAAAGCCACTCCTTACTTAACTAGAGCTTGCATATTAGGTGGTTTGTAGGTATTTCTTTATAGATTAAGAACAGTCTCAGAATGCAAAGAAATAATAGAGCTTCACAAAATGTTGGAAACTCATATTAAGAATAATAGAATGAAAGAAGATAGAAAAATAAATATTAATTACATGTGTACATTACCATAAATATTAGTTAATGGTGAATGGTATGCAAATGTGCAGGTTTTTCAGTTTCAAAAAATCCTCACAAGAATCTGTAAACATGGGGAAGGGGAAGCAAAGGAGAAGGCAACAATGCTTGATAAGAAATGTACTCATTATCTTGCCCATGTAATTTTAACCCCTCTGTATGGTATTTTTGCAATAAAAAATAAAAAAAAAAGCTCGCTGCAACTAAAAAAAATTCCAATTATTACTTTACAGATAATAAAAACACAATTGTAAAGACTGAAAAACAATCTGTAAACATGGCAGGGAAGGAATGTTATGTGCCACTGTACAAAGTAGTAGTGTGATATTCAGGATGCTAAGTGGTTAGTACAAAGTTGCATACTAAATGACCATGTCAGTCCAAAAATGTATAGAGAAGCATAAAATACCTTGGATAACCAAAGTAATCATGAGTAAAAAGACAAATGTTAGTGGTACAGCACTCACCTTGAGCTAAAGAGTGCAGGGATAGCACCCAGGCCCTGAGTTCAAGCCCCATGATTGACAAAAAAAAAAAAAGACAAATTATATGGTAGAACCATAGTAACAAAAATGAGCATGGTATTGGCACAATACCATAAACCAGTGGAACAGAAGATCCAGAATCATGTCCACTCAGCTATAGCCATATGATTTTGGACAAAGGCACAAAAACTCCACATCGGAGAAAAAGATAGTCTTTTTTTTTTTAACAAACAATGTTGGCAAAACTGGATAACTATCTGTAAAAGACTGAAAGAGAGTGCTGTCACCCTGTACAAAAATCAATTCAAAATGGATCAAAGATCAATGTAAACCCAGAAACTTTGAAAGCACTCAAGGAAAATGTAGGAAAAACCCAAAAGATAGACATTAGAAACACTTTACTAAGTAGAACTCCAATTGCTCAGAAAATAAGAACCATAACTGAAAAATGGACATTTATGAATTTAAAGAGCTTCTTCACAGTAAAAGAAAATTTTCAGATTCAAAAGAAAACCTATAGAAGAAAATATTTGTCAGTTATACATTAGATAAAAGTAATATTCTGAATATATTTTTTAAAAAAAACATTGGAAATTAAATACCAGAAGAATAAAAATCCACAATAGAGAAATGAATATTGTTTTCAAAAGGGGAAGCACAAATGGCTAATAAACATATGATTATATGTTCAACATCCTGAGCTATGAGATGCAAATCAAAGCTACACTGAGATTACATCTTGCCTCAGTCAGAATGGCTATCATCAAGAAAATAACAAATGGTGGCGAAGATGTACATTCCCACTGGGAATGTAAATTAATTGGACCACTGTGAAATTTAGTATGGAGGTCCTTTACAGGCTCAAGCTACTCAGGAGGCTGAGATCTAAGGATTGAGGTTCAAACCAGCCTGGGCAGGAAAGGCCCTGAGACTCTTATCTCCAAAAAACCACTCAGAAAACCGGAAGTGGTGCTGTGGCTCAAGTTGAAGAGCTCAGGGACAGCGCCCAGGCCCAGAGTTCAAGCTCTATGACCAACAACAACATCATCAAAAATTAAAGCTAGAACTACTATGTGTTCCTGCTATTTCACTCTGGAAAATATATCCAAGGCCATGTAAGTCAACATACAGTTGAGATACCTGTACACTTAGATTTATAGAAGCACTATTCACAACAGCCAATACATAGAATCAACCTAGGTGCCCATTAACAAATGAATAGATAGATAAAATATGGTGTATATATATTGAGTGGAGTATTCAACCAAAGAAGAATGAATTTATGTTGTTTGCAAGAACATGGATGGAACTGGAGATCACTATGTCAAGTAAAATAAACCAGACTAAGAAAATGAAAATTCACATATTCTCTCTCATATGCAGAATCTAGCTCTAAAGAATGAAGGCCAAGAAGGTAAAACAGGTTCTATCTGGAAGTGAGTACCAGAAGGAAGGGTGAAGACCAAAGAGACAATATGAAGCATGAATACAATAGAAGCATTTTATACATATTTATAAAAGAACAGTAATACTTGTTGAAATTGTCACAAGAATGAAGGGGTGATAAAGGCTGAAAGAATGGTTTGGATTGATGAGATACATAGTATGCATATAGGGAAATATCACAGTGAAACCCGTGCTAATAAAAATGGGGGAAAAAAAGACTGAAAACCAGATCTTTTGATTCCCAGTCTTTATCTTTGATTTATCTTTTTCCTTTATTACTTCAAGAGGCAAAAGACATAGGAGAGCAAACTTTGGCCAAAATATAGTGTTTAAAAAGTGCAGCTGTTGAACAGAAAACTAGGTTATCTTAAGAAATGGTTGTAGAGAACATACCTGCTTTATAGCACATCAGTTGAGCAGTAGACTTGGTTACCTTATGAAGTGGTAGTAGAAAACATACCTGCTTTACATTGCAGCTGTCGAACAGTAGACTAGGTTGTCTTATGAAAAGATTATTATATAGAAGATTAAGACATCAGAGTTTCTATTCTGGGGTCCTGTGTTTCTAAAATTCCTTGGTTATATTGCTCCCAGAGAAGGTGGGAATAATTAGCCCTGTTTCTAAGCAGCTAATGTTACAGATACACAGACAGAGCAGAAGAGGCATATTCTTACAGAATGCTTGAAAGTTGGAACTTTTCTCATCTTATAAGCAAATCTAGTGTTCTGGCATAACAAACACAAATCAGATAAAAACAAAGCCTGTAGCTATCTCTCAGATCACACAATGTTGAGTAGATAGAAGCCACACATTTATTTAAATTACAAAGGAAATAATATATAAGTGAGAGGTTCCTGAAACCTAAAATCCTACAGCATACATATCAGAAATTATGGGAGGAAGCACTGTTCTGCATTAGAACACTTATTACTAATTTTGATGTATGGTGAATTTGCTTTTTTAGAATACATAGAATATTTATAGTTGTACTGACACCATAGGCATTTTAAGAGGTACTTATCAACTAAGAATAATCCACACATGTCTTTTAGATGATGGATCAAGATTCTCTTTAGAGCCACTAGACCCAGAGCCCCTGATCCAAATTTCTTGGAACATTTCTTGACATATATTTTCAGATCCCTGTGCTCAAGAGAATGGTGCATCTGTCAGATGGAGATGCCTGGATGCATTCTTTCCTAGATACGAATATAGGTGGCACTTTAGTAGTATAGGCAATGAAGAACCTGATTTGGAAGGGAACAGATAGCACATTTCTCTTGGGCTAATTTTGGGATCCTCAAATAGTCCCCTTTTCACATAAATCATCAGTGGAACCAAATTATAATGGCTATGTCTCATGGAAAATTGAGAGAAAAATAGGGTATAGAGAGAAAAATAGAGTGCAGCATAAGGCAAAGATAAACCAAAGGAATCAGTGTGACTCCTTTCAGAGAATTGAGGTTCATGTGAATTTCTTTTCTTAGAAGGTAGACAGAATACTAATCCATTAGCTAAGAAAATGAGTAGGAAAATCATATCATCAGTCATATGTTTTGGATATTCAATGCTATATTATATAATAGCTAAATTCATACTTGTAAAAATGAATTCACAGGATCTAGTTTCTAAGACATTTTTCCTTAGTAGATAAGAAAGCTGAGACTACCTAATGATTTTATTTGATAAATCAGAAGCAAATTAAATTTTAAAACCTCAGATTCTTGCCCCAATTTTTGCCACCAAAACTACTTTCCTTCATATGAGACAATACTTTATCAGTGAGAGATGATGACATGAGGTGAAGAATCCTTCCCTCAACCATGAGTTTATAAGTTTATAAAAAAACTTTATAAAAATGAAAATAACACATTGAAAAGTTACTTACCTGTTTACCATCCAGAGTGTAGAGTTTCTTGACGACTCCAGTCTCCAGTTTAATGGCTTCAGTAATATCGGTGAGAACTTGTTCGAAAGAATGTGCAGTCTTCTTGTTCAGCAGCACACGCACAGCTTTTCGGGGTTTCACCCCACTGCGGATGATGGTCACTAGTTTAGGGCGCACAAAGTCCTTGTTCTCTCTAGCCTGAGCACTATTGCTGCTGGCCAGGGATTGGGGAGCTTTCATATTAGCTGATGTCTTTACGTTAACAGACCAGTTGGGATTGACATTCTTGGTGTACTCCACCTTTTTAAAGAAGTTGTCGGAGGAACAGACATAGCTTTCCCCTAAGGGAAGAAATAAGTGGTTAGGTGATTAGTTCAATGGATATAGACTCCAATCAAAGTTATGCTGACAATGGATTAAAAACTAATACCAACCTTAGGTATGAGTCCTAAATGTGCTCCTTGACAACTAGCTCATTCAAATCCAAAGATAACCAGCCAACATTCTTTAATCTTAATAGCCTACCTAATTGAGGAACCCTGAAAATTTAATAGTCCTAAGGATAATGAACAATCAAACTTAATCTAAAGTGAGGTATCATCCTTAGTATGTTTATATTAGTTTCTAGAATAAACTTTGCTAACTTCCAGGGAATTCCTGGAGCATTTAAAAAAAAGTGTTTATTTTCCACTGTTCCTGCGTTAATTTTATGGATCCATCTCTTTGTTATACTATGAACTGAGGAGAATTTTCAAAGTTAACACATTATTATTCCAATTAAAGTGAACCAAGTAACATTGTATATCATGTATAAAACATGTATTTGGTTAAAAGCCATACTTTTCACAAATTACTGGGTTAAGTGGAGGAACACTGAAATATGAAGTGTATGTTCAATGTTGAAATATTTCTACAGCTTATTATATACTCAAATGTTCAGAGTGGGGGAAAAGTATCTCTACAGATGCATACAGAGAGAGAGAGAGAAACACATACAACATTCCTTGTGTTCACAAGTCTAACTCTTCCCTGAAAAATATGCTTCCATCACTTTCTATCTTTCCATCTTCTCCAATGCTGCGCAGTAGGTCTATGCATTTGGAGCCATCTTCATGGATGCCTTTCTTTGGCTGCCACAAGTAGTGAAGTAGAGATATGAGAGTACATTACTTAGCCCTGACTTGTGAACTGTAGGTACATAATTGAAGTTTTACATTTATCTTGGGCTAGAGGAAATGACTAATACAGTGGAAGACATGTAAGTGTTGGAGGCAAGAGGAGGGGATAGACAGCTAGGATAAAGGTTGAAGAAAATAGGAAAAGTAGTTTAGCTTGAGGGCTAGAATACTGAAAAAGTTGAATTAGTTGAACGAAGCATATAAGCCTGAAGGTATACAGAAGTTCATCCAGAGGTTGAGCTGCACATGCAGTGATTTAATCAGGCTCAAGTCAAGCAGTAATAACCCTAAATAAATAAATAAACCCTAGAAAGCATGAAATGCAATTATAGTCTGATGGCTCTTCTCCTCCCTTTGGTCTCAGCAGGATAACCACACAGAGACATTCAGAAACCTCAGGTTAATAATTCATTCCCTTTGTAAATATTTATTGTTTTGCTGTAGCACCAAATGCTTTTGTTAATTAATAAATTTCTCAATACTCTGAGAATATTCAGTCACAATCTCTAGGGCACCTTTGAGGACACTGAGAGGAGGATAAATAGCATCCAAAGCTGCCCTCAACCTCACTAGTGTTCTATCAGAACAGCAGAAACTATGGGATGGCTTATAGGTCAGCAGAGGCATTTTCCCCCAAATGGCACATGTAAGCATATCCAGAACAGGAAAGTCAAAGACACCAGTCAAGATAAACCCTAATTGCTCTGGCTTTCTGACTGGCTAACCAAGCTAATACACATGATCAGAAGATAAGTATTTAATTCACAACTCAAAAGAACAAAGGAATCTGGGTTAATGGTGGTTCACATCAGTAATGCTAGCTACTCAGGCTGAGATCCAAAGATTGCTATTCCATGTTCAAAGTCAGCCTGGGTGGAAAGTCCATAAGACTCATCTCCAATTATTCACCAAAAGCCAGAAGTAGAACTGTGGCTTAAGTAGTAGAGTGCTAGCCTTGAGGGAAAAAATGAGCTCAGGAACAGCTCCCAGGTCCTAAGTTCAAGACCCAGGACTGGTATACACAAGGGGGAAAATGGTAAAGACACTCACACTTTCATAGTCACTATCCTCCCCCCTTGGACAGGTCCTCTTGTCTTAGTACTTCACCAGGTGCATGGGTCCTTCCAAGAGGCCACTGCCTCTGAGTCAGATATTTTCCATAACTTGTCATACAATTTAAACGATGTCAGACAACTGGTGGTGGGGAAATGTGCAAGGCTATATATTTATGATTTCTCTCATCCACAGTCTCTTCTGGAGAGTCAGCTGTGTGGCCCTATTAGAAGCCTGGACTTTTTTTGCTCCTCTCTCTTAAACCTCTTAAGCCTCTGAACTATGAGTATGATTAATTACCCCCAGATTAAAATGAGCATGATGACAAACAGCTATAGTATCATATGGCACCCAAGAGCTTTCCAGAGGGCTAGCCTTCAGCCAAATCTATGTTGAGCACCTACGGAGAGTACATTTCACTCACTCTACTCTCTCCTTTTGGCCTGAATAGCAAGTAATGGAAAAAGAACAGCTGATATGATGTCATTCAGAATGGCACGTTTTTTTCTAGTTGTGTGCTCCTGGGCAAGTGACCAAAATTTCTTTGCCTGTACTTTTTTTTTCTGCAAAGTGTAGGTGCTAATAATATGTACCTTATAGAATTGTAGGGGAGCACAGATCAGATGATGGATAGAAATTGTCAATCTAGAGACGAGTATTTCATAAATTCTCATAGTTATTACTAAGCCCCTCATGTGAAAAAATAGAAAAGAGAACAAGAAGCAAAATGCAAAGAGGGAAAGGAGGAAGTAAACACTGGAAGGAGGGGGAATGAAAAGTTAAAATTGAAAGAAAGAGAGAGGAAGCAATAAGATAAGCCATGAGGTAGCTGAAGAGTGATCACTATACAACATGAGCAAGAGCACTGTAGCGGGGAGGGGTCCCCGACCTCAAAGATGAGATTCTGTTTCCTGAAAGGAGCCCTCCAAGTGCTGCAAATTACACTCAGCAAAACTACTGCTGCTATTGCTGCTGCCCACTGAATGACTAGGGAGGCAGACTGATCTTGATACATAGCCCAACTAGGCACTGAGTTGCTGTGTGATCTCAAGCAAATTACTTGGAGCCTCAGTTTTTTCAGCTACAAATTGAAGATATTTCACTAGGTTACTTCTAGACCTAAAGGCCAATAAGAAGGAATTTTCTTCTCTTTTCCATAGCAAACAGAAAATAAAGCTGTTACAGTAATTAAATGTGAAATGGGTACTCATAAAGATTCTTCGTGTCTATTGCAAAAATATCAAATATGCTTCCTTGTTCTGCTCTTGTAAAGGTTTGCAATGAATATCTACTGCCTGTTACCCAGAGCTGAGTGATATAGGTTGCACCTTTACACAGTTCTGCTCCAATCCTGCCACAGGTTCCACAGGCTATTTCCTACCCACAGGAACCTAGAAGGAAACTGGTTTCAAATCCCAGCAAAGCTTCCATTTGTTGGAATTGACAACCTCCTTTCTGGTGAGAGGTTAAAGAAATGTAGTTATAGAAATATAGCCCAAATGGCAGCACTAGAAGGGACCATAAGTTCCAAATGATTGAATGTCTTCTTCCCTTCACTTTTAGACAGGCTCAATTTTCCAAAGTATTAGCTAGATGTATTTTTATCTCCTCAATGCAAAAGCATTTTACCTGGGCTTTCCCCTTCTCTGAGAGCTCTTTCTAAAATATGAAGGAAAATATTAAGTGATACTTCATTGGATTTTTACTTTAAAGCCCTAAATTTTTTTTCATTTTTTATTGTGAAAATACTGTACAGAGGGGTAAACGATCATACCCAATAAAAATTCATCCCCCTTCCAGATATCTTAAAACCCTGCTTTTTGGAAATAAGATTGCTTTAGTAACTTGAGAATAAAGTAGTGAAAAAGAAGTTTTATTTCACAGAAACAAGTGAGCTCTGGTAAAGGAAGTGCATCAGATTGAGTGACACTCTACAATTCAGATTTTCCAAGACTGTCCCAGTTGTAAATATTCCATCCTATGGCCTGCATAATAATATTCAAACTTGTCACAATTAGCATTTAGATAAAAGACAAGTCATAAGTGCACCCCTCAATTTGATCTAGCTATATGTATACAAAGAGGTGGGAACCATAGAATGTGATATAAGAGGAAGGAGAAAGATTCTACAATGAAAGACAAAGGAAAGACAAGACAAAAGGAAACACCACCAATGGATTTCATCACTGACTTGCCTGGGAATGAGTTAATGGGATCCACTTCCTTTGTGGCTTTGCTACGATCCTCCATGTACTCAAGAAGCTATGGCAAAGCTCTATTCAAAAACCTGCCTTTGGTTCAAAGTGCTCCCCTTGACATTTTCAGGTTTTGTAATCAGACAGTTGTCCAGAGGTCAGAGTGATTATTAGTTGCTTTTTATTTCATTTCATTTAAGGCTAATAATTCAATAATCTGTCTTTTTGGAAACGTATTATGTTATACCCTTCATTATTTCTTTAAGATCTACAAAGCATAAAAAACAAGGATTTCTGCATTCCTAGGAATAGTAATGATTAGTAACACTGTTGCTAGCTGCAGAAGATAGTCATGATCACCTAATTGAACACTTTCTAAGCTTATGATCTCATAAGAATATATTTGTCAAAACAAATTCTAGGAACCTAGCCCTGGAGATTAGGATCCAATTGGTTTGAGATATGGTACAGAATCTATCTTTTGTAAAGCTTTGAAAGATTTTTAGAAGGCAGGTTTAGGAACCACTGGCAGTTACAAGTTATCACTAGCCTTATTATTATTATTATTTTAGTATTTTCACATCATTAACAATAATTGCTTCTTATAGCTATTAGTTTTACTGTGTTTCCATACCATATCTAATTTTATCCTCACAACTACCTTAATGGATAGAGAAGACTGGTGTTACTAGTCTCTCATTTGGGTTATCTCATAAGAGCTATACCAAATGGGCTCTATAATATACAATGGAACAAAATGCTGATACATGGTACAACACGGATAAACGTTGAAGACATTCTGAGGGAAAGCAGCACAAAAGACCACACATGTTATTATTTAATTTATATGAAATGCCTAAAGCATGCAAATCTACAGAGACCAAGTTGAGAATTCGTTTTCTAGGAATAAAAAACTTGAAGGTAATGGACAAAGATAGTTAATTGATAGAGGGTTTCATTTAGGACATATATTGTTTTCATAAACTACTTTGTTAAATGACAACTGTTTTGTCCAACTACTTAAAGATAGTAAAAAGAAAAAAAATGCTTTAAAAAGGTCAAAAATTAGGAAGTGAAGCTATAGCTCAAGTGGTAGAGTGCTTACCTTTAGCAAAAGCAAAAGATTAGAGATAGCACCTATGCCCCAAGTCAAGTTCCAGGACCAGCACAAAAAAAGTAGCTTAAAATTCGTTTATAGTGACCGTTAGTTGTACTAATTTTGATTTACATTGTTGAATCATAACTTACATGAGTAAATGTTATGGTATGCAAATTATGGCTTAATAAGCTTGTTCTTTTCTTTAAAAAAGAACCCAGAGATGCCAGGGTGCTCACACCTGTAATCCTAGCTATTCTGGAGGCTGAAATCTGAGGATCATGGTTCAAAGCCAGCCTGGGCAGGAAAGCCCATGAGACTCATGTCCAATTAAGCAACAAAAAAGCTGGACATAGAGCTGTTGCTCAAGTGGTGGAGTGCTAGCCTTGAGCAAAAGAAGTTCAGTGACAGCTCTCAGGCCCTGAGGTTAAGCCCCAGATTGTTGTGAAGTGCATAAGCGTGTGTGCACACAAACACGCACACAAACACACACACACACACACACACACACAGACACACACACACACACAGAAAAACAAGAGGCATTTTGTTCCATTTCTGTTGTAGTTGCTCATGTTCTTGTTTAGGGATACCATGTAGGCCAGCCTATCCAAGAACTCCCAAACTCATCATAGCCTCTCAGATGCTTGGGATTACAAGTATTTGCTATCACAATGGGCTAAAACAATTGGTTTAGTCACATTAGTCACATTGATAAGGACAAACACATGATCATTTAGCTAAATTGCTATAAACTAGAATTATTCAAATGATAACTACCATTGACAGTGCTGCTGTGTACCAGGATAAAAGTTAAGCATTTTCTATCCATTGTCTTATTTATTAAAGTAATTATTCCCATTTTACAGATTGGAAAACAGAGAACTTCTAATGGTTCCTCCCTAATTTCAACATGCTGACAGCTAGCAGATCTTCACACTGATACAAAATTAATTCCAAAGAGTACCTTTTCCATTGTAATCAGCGGACTCAAAGACTAGAATGCAACCCTCCTGATTTTTTTTTCCTGTGTTTGTCCTGGGGCTTGAACTCAGGCCTAGGTGCTGTCTCTGAGCTATTTTTTTTTATCAAACTAGTGCTCTGCTACTTTAGCAAGAGCTCTACTTCCAGCTCTTTTTGCTCATTAATTGGAGATAAAAGCCTCATAAACTTTTCTGCCTGGGCAGGCTTTGAACCACCATCCTCAGAGTAGCTAGGATTACAAGGCATGAGCAACCTACATCTGGTTTAATTCTTTACCCAGTATTATCATTTCCAAGTATTTTCAATTTGAAGCATAATAGGATCCAATGTATATGCATTTTGAATCTTTCCATCAAACACTTGCACAATCAAACACAATTAATAGAATTCAGGCCTGCTTTTACTAGATGAGTAAAGGACAAAATAGGTTTAGAAAGACCAAATTTCTTTATCCTCTTCATCCCAATGTCATTTCCTACTTAGCTCTGTGGCAGTGTGAAAACTGACCATATTTAGTAATACCATCCCAGAGATACCCCTGAATTTCTTTGACATAATAGATAGTGCTCAGGACTGGGAAAGCATTGGCATTCATCCACTGTGTCTTGCATTTGTAGATTACATTGCATAAATACAGGTGATCCCTACTTACATTCTATACTGAGTGGGAATCAGCAGAAAGTACTGTACCCAGGATTGGTTGGTGAGAGGGGTCTAATATAGCAGGACTAAAGTGAAAAAGAAAGCTTCAATCTTTTAAAAATTGCATTTATTACTACCTATATTGATTTTGTCATTATCATTTGCTACACACACACACACACACACACACACAGATATTTAGATAGAAAAAATATATATATATATAACAAAATCATATCTTTCTTATACCAATATAAGAATAGTCTTTGTTCTGAATACAATGTCACTTGGTTTAGAATTATGTTTCATATCTATTAAGACAGTTCACAGGAGACATAAAGACGTATATGTTTGTGAATGGCATTATAGAGAAATCCCTCAAATTTGACTCAGCTATGCATCTTACAGCAACAAAGACATACATCCTATCAATTACTCTGTTGGACAGCTCCCTTAACATAGCTTCAAGCCCTTCCTTGCTTTTATTTGAAGATATACATTAAAATGGTCAATCCTTTGATGGTCAGGAAAAGGAAAAGATTAACCTCTGCCTTTCCATTCTGTACATGATGAAATAATGAAGCCTTCTCAGTATTGCTTTTCAAGGTCCTCTATGTAAAAATCTCTAAGAGTTGGACCCCCAGACTCAGGAACAACAGCCATATGAACACTATCTTTTCTAAGTTATTAGCTCCAGTCTGACTACTTGGGAAACAGGAGCTACAGGAGAGAAACAGGGTCTTGTACAAGGTAAGCCCTCATGCTCCTTTGTCTAGGAACACAGCAATTCTAGAAGCAATAAAAATGCAGGATGGCTTGTACCTCCTAGTCATTCAATGTGCTGGTTCTCTTTTTTTTTGACATTTTATAATTTGGTTTCCCTAGTGATCTGCTGCTCTTGACACACCTTTATTCAAGGAATGGAGGGAGGGTAGAAGGAAGGAAGGAGGAAGGACACTTTCATTATTGAGGCTGTCCTATTAAGCACTGGACCTAGTTAAACTGATACTATGCTGCGCCCACCAATTTAAAAGTAGGAATAGGGGAATATCTTCCATAATATTTGACAATATAGAATATGAGTAACTTGACCCAAGATCTATATTCTGCATGTCTATAAAGGAGATTTTATGGTTCAGTAAATTTAGGTAAGAACCAAAAATTTCCCACTTATCAGGTATCCAGGTTGTCAGGATTTGGGGCAATTTAATAGCAAAATTCAGTTGTAGTATGAAAATCTGTAGGGGAGTTAAAAACATTTAGGTATAATGAGTCAGTGTTTATTAAAATACCAGGCATACCTACAGCTTTCACTGGTATTTCTCCCAATGATCTCACCCTCTCAGACACACCCTGAAGTGGGTTTTTTATAAGCAACAGCTGAGCAGTGACCACTTACCTAAAAGTATAATCCTCTGTGAATATGTCCGGGAAGTCTTGCTTTTAAAGTGCATATTTGCAATGAGTTGTAATTCACAAATAATTTCTCAGCAGTTCAAAAGAAATGTTAGTACATTTGTCTCTATTAACCCAACAAAACATCCTTCCTTGCTACGCCTCTAAAATATCTTGGTCTGCATTGATAGTGGTTAATTATGAACAAGAACTAGAATTTAGATCTGCAATTCAAATTTCCCTTTGTATATCATGGCAGATAAGCATAATGAATTATCATTACCACAACTGAAGCCCATAAACACTAAGGGCCACCACCCAGCACTTGAATTACCTTCTTCTAGTTCATCCATGCTGCCGATTTTCCTGGATCCGTCAATGGTGTAAATATAGCGCACCCCTTGAGGCAGGTTGATATTGTCGGACAAAGAGCGAGTCAGGTCTGCCAGCAAAGCATCGAAGCTGCGGAAACGGTCAGAAGACACAGCATACACAATGCCTTTGAAGTAGCGGTCTCCATTGCGATAGAAACGTACCTTCTTTGCTTTTTTCTCATTACTTAGGGCCTGCAAGGTTCTGGTTCGATAGAAGCTACAGTGGGCACTGTGGGTCGGGCTAGGCAGGCCATTCATTCGTGTGCCTCGCATGTTCCTGGATGTCTTATCTCTTTCGTCAAAGTGTCCGAAGTCAAGTTCCATATTTTTGTGGTACCTCAGAAACCTGAGTATCGGAAAGAGGGGTAAGGGTAAGGAGTGGCAAAGAAAAAAGGGATGAGGGGGAGAAGAATTCAAATATTAGTCAGATCCAGATCTGCAATCTGCTGCCTGTGAAAAGAATTGGGGGGGGGGAGAAAGCCTGGGACCCATCTGCTGCTTGCCCCTGACCCACAGGAATATCGATCTTAATAGAGAATGAGGAGGGGCTGAGGAGGGGAGGAACAGAGGGGTTGGGAGTAAGAGATAGAAAGGGAGGCACTTTTGGCATGGCTCCAAACAGAGAAAGGGGGGGGGTGGATTTTGAAACTGCTTAAAATCCTGGAACTTACTGACACTAGCTCCTACCAAATTGTAACTTCGGGCTAAATACATTAAAACTGGCATCTGTTTCCTCACACATGCTCACATGACTAACAGTTGTAAATGAATCCATAGCCTGACAACAATTCCCCTTGAAGAGAACAGAAGGAGCTAGCCAAGGTTAGGATCTCCAGTTTAGGAAGCAGTATTTGCATCTCAGTACAATGAGTAGGAAGAGGGGTGTTTTCATTTTATTCCAAACCTTCTCTCCCTACTCTGTGTGTGTGTCCCCTCCCCCAGAATAAACTAGGATTCTCTTTTAAAGGGACAGCCTCCAGGGAATAGCCAATGTCTTTGTGCTATTCATCAAACCCTCTCCCTTCTAAGCCTGTGCAGCTATCCAACAATAGCAAAGAAGCTGAAAACCAGCATTAGAAAACAAGCAGTGATTTAACACATTTCTAGCGCTGCTTTCCTCTTAGTACCATTTAGTCTCCAAATCCTTTATCCCCGGGTGCTTCAACCCCTCCCAATGCATGCAATAACACCTCTTAATGGAATAATCTAAGCGTGCAAAAATTCCCAAATGAGCTCCTGAATAGCATATGGGACTTTTAGAAACAAGTACACCTTTCATTGTTCTGAGTTTCTACCCTAACCATCAGAGCACTTTTGTCTTCACCACAGATAATTCACACCAAACTTGTCTACTGCTCAGGTGTATTAGCCAGGGCAAATGATGGGCTTCTGTCAGGCATTGATTTTTCCCCTTCTGCTGAACCCTACCCCTCCAACCCAAACAATGGAAATACGAAACCAAATACAAGCAAAGCCCCTAACGCAAGCCAAGGTAGTGACACCCTAGGAACCAAACTATTAGCATTCATCTCACAGATGGGAATAAAAAAAGGACTCACAAAGCAAGCGGGGCTCAGCTGCCACACACTGCCACATCAAGATTTGCAACAGACCAGGGAGACAGAAGATAAAGGGGAACTGGTGGCGAGTAGTTTTGTCAATCTCAGTCTTCCCTTCTTTTTCCCAATGTCACCGTGACCTATGCTGAGCTCAAGCATTGTCTCTATCAGACAACCTGCAGCAGGAAGACCCCACCTCCTCAACACTAGTAGCAAGCATTTTCCCCAGACATGCCAATAATGCTTTGCTTCCCCTTAGAATCAGAGGTGGAATTATTCTAAATTAACATCATAGTCAAAACAAAAAGATTATCAAACTCACTTTTTCAAAGGAAATTCCCAGGTAGAAGCTTAGGAGGAAAAATCCAAAAGAATAAGACCACAAAAGCAAGAGAGGAAAGACAGAAAGAGACACAGGCAGGAAGAGAGAGCTTTGCCCTGTGCTTTTCCCATTTGACATCTGTTACATTCTGCTTGAAAATCACTGGAAAGCCTCACTCACCGGTATTCTGCTGTTGGGTGGAGATGCTGAGAGAAAGAAAACCAATCTCTCTATGCCTTTGTTGTCTGAGCTCCAAGCAAGAAATTCCTGCCAGGGTGGATAGATGCCTTCTAGGTCCTAGTGCCTTGTCCAGCTTCTCCCTGTAACTCAGGCTTAGTGAACCACCCTCCCTACCTCCTATGATTAATTGCATGCTTTTTTCCCTCAATTCACAGCCCACATTAACAGCTAGAAAGGTTTCATTTATAACCAACAGGAAATTGAAGGATAGCAAATGATTGCATAGGCAAGTCCAGAATGCTTTAATGAGCTATGTGTTATGCTTTTCTTTAAGAAAATTGGCAATTTCGCTTAGCCAAAACCTTAGCCTAATCTGACTGGTAGACTCAGACAACTAAAATTTGTTTCTTAGAAATTGTAGCTTCCTTCCTTTCAAATTCTTCTTTAGGATTGGGGGGTGTTAAAACAGGATTCTACTATCTCTTTTTGACCTCAAACTCCAATTTCTCCTGCTTTAGCCTACCAAACACTGGGATTATAGACATGTACCACAACACCCAGCTTTCTTCACCCAGCTTTCTTTTGCCCTATTCAGAGGAAAATCAAACCTGCAAATGTTTTAAGTCATTTTAGTTCATCCATCCACCACTAGTTGTTCTTGATATAATGTCTCAACAGTGTAAATTAAGAGGGAAGGAAATGACAAAACAAAATAGTTACAGACTTTCATGGAAGGATGATACTGATTTAAGGAATTTGTTAAAGAAATCAGTAACATTACTTCAAGCCCCACGACTGAGAAAAAAATATATATATATGAAATTATATATATATAGTTAGATATATTAAATGTACTGTAAAGAACAAAGGAACATCCAAATTGACCTCAAATTTCAAAGTACTGAAAAGAGAGAAAGGAAACAAAGTGAGCAGTAGAGTTACCAACTTTGCAATTAAGATTTCATGCATTAATATGTAATCAGCTTAAACTATCATAGCTCCATTTTGAGTGTCCTCTGGAAGGCTTAGAGCTAATCCTATACCTCCAATTGGGATTAAAAAGTAATCTTTTTTTCCTCTGGAAGGTATTGGCTCAATAAAGCCTAAGATTACTGTGTTACCTTCTCAAGTAAGCAACCAATAGCTCTTGTTGCTCCTCTCCTACTTTCTGGATAAATACACCTCACAGAGGCTGCCCTATCTTTTTCTATCTGCTATGACCTTACACTGTTGCAGTTTCTGAAAAAATGGAAATATTTGGGTCAGGGACAGAAGACTCAAAGATTAAGTACAAGGAAATAGAAAGGGGAGGGATGGCTAAAGTGGTAGAGTGCCAGCAAAAAAGTGCCAGTAAAAAAGGTAGGAGACAGTGTGAAGACGAGTTCAAGCCATAGTACTGGAATAAAATGAGCAAAGAAACAAAAACAAGAAACAACACGAGCAAGGAAATATGGAAATTCCAGCAAAGCTATAATGTCTTTTTTTATTTACTTTTTATTTTTTTTGGGGGGTCCAGCCCTGGGCCTGAACTCTGGGCCTGGGCGCTGTCCCTCAGCTCTTCAGCTCAAGGCTAGCGCTCTACCACTTGAGCCACAGCGCCACTTCCGGCTTTTTTCTTTTTGCTTATGTGGTGCTGAGGAATCGAACCCAGGGCCTTGAGCATGCAAGGCAAGCGCTCTACCACTGAGCCACCTTCCCAGCCCAGTAAAGCTATAATGTCTTAACAACATCTATTACACTCATGCATGCATGCACACATGCACACACACACACATACACACACACACACATACACACAAACTGCTACTTTACATCACATTGCAGAAGCACAGGATGTAGGGCAGAGTAAAAAATAGCAAGGGATATTGGAACAACAAACAAAACTAGAAGCTCCCTAGAAATAAATCTCACAAACATGTAAGACCTTGGGTGGAAAAATCATAAAACTGTTAGCGAACATAAAAGAAGCTGTGAGTACATGTAGAGAGAGACCATGCTCATGGGTACCAAAATACAATGCTGTCAGAATATCATCCTATCCCAAGTAATCTACACATGCAAAAATAATTCTAAGGAAAACTCCAATATAAATTTTTGTGAAACCTGAAAAATGGTTGTTAAAATTTTTATAGAAGAATATCAAGGCTGACAGAAATTGAAACTATTTATAAAGTCAAGAGAGACTCCCAATCTTTCAGTCTGGAACTTGAATTCCTAGCCAGAGTAATAAGGAAAAAGAAACAATAAAAGCAATCAAAATTGGGAAAGACAACTCAAATTATCCCCATTTGCAGACAATATGATAATAAAGACATGACTTCAAAACTTCTACAACTGACAAATATTTTTGGCAAAGTAGCTAAATACAAAATAAAAATACAAAAAAAACTATGTCAATTCTGCATACCAATGAGTACACTAGAAAAGAAATTAAGAAAATAATGCGATTTACAATAGCCTTGGAAAAAAAAGAAAATACCAAGGGAAAAACTTAACCAAACATGTGAAAGACATATACAATTAAAACCATGAAATGCTGAAGAAGAAATTGAACAAGATACTAGAAGCAAAACAGAGCTCCCATGAGCATGTTGTTTAGAGAATTTAATATTGTGAACATGAATATGCTTCTGAAAATAATACAAATTCAATTGAATCGAATCCTCATCAAAACCCTAATGTCATACTTTACAGAACTGTAAAAAAAATCCAAAAATCTTCTGTGAATGAAGCACAAAAGACTGACTAGAATAAACAATTATGAGCAAAAAGACCAAAACTGGAATGATCACAATACTTGACTTCAAAACTAGCATGGAATTGGCACACAAACAGAAACATAGACCAAAGAAAATGGGAGGGGGATTCAGAAATTGTGCACTGGTGGCTCACGCCTGTAATCCTACCTAAACAGGAGGCTGAGATCTGAGGACCAGGGTTCAAAGCCAGGCTGGGAAGGAAAGTCCTTGAGATTCTTATCTCCAATTAACCCCCAGAAAACCATGAGTGGAGCTGTGGCTCAAAGTGGTAGAGCACTAGCCTTAAACCAAGAGCTCAGGGACAGCTCCCAGGACCTGAGTTCAAGCCCCAACTCTCAAATTAATACATACCTATATAGATACATACATGCACACATACATACATACATATGAATATACATAAATGATCCAGGAAAAACCTACACAAGAGCAGCCATCTGAATTTGGATAAAGAAATCAAAGCACACATTACTGGAAAGACTCTCAAACAAATGATGTTGGCAAAACTGGTTATGTACATGAAGAAGTTTGAAACTAGATGCATTTTATAAAAAAAAAATCAATTAAAATTTACCAAAGGGCCTAATGTAAGATATGGAACTTTGAATCACCTCCTGGGGAAACCAATTATCCAAGAAATAAGAACAAGAATTGCCAAATGAGATTAATCATAGTGATTAAATTAAAACAGTTCTACAATGTATATATGTGTATGTATGAATAATATAAACATGTAGATCTCCATATATTTATATATATGTGCATGTGCAATATACATAAAATATATCATCTATACAATTACACAAATACATGCATATATGCACACATATAGTACATACATAAACACACATATATATATGTATATATATATATATATATATACACACACCTGTGTATTTACATATACTAAAACCTCTAAGAACTACTGAGAAATGAAGGGGGAAAAGGAAAGGCATTAAACAAAACTAATATAGATGACATAAATGTCATCAAAATAAATGGTATGCATGTGTGTAAATAGAGTGAAGCTCAATATGTAATCAATTTTTGCCAAT